AAACTGTCTTTATGTATATAAGAATTAAAGAGGAGTTTTGTAAGCTCCATTGGGGCTGTCGTGAAGGTATGACTAGCCTTTGACATTGTCTATTGTGTAGATATTGAGACGTTTTGTTTTACACTGTCCATTGTTAGCTTATATCCTTTCATTGTTTCAAATTTATTTACAAGATTTCGTCACCCTGTTTGTTGGATATTGTGGAAATTTTGCTTGAAAGTAGCTTTAATTTCGGTAATCCGACAGAAAATTTGCATTATGATTTTCGGAATTTTTCTGACACATATGCTTGCTTCTGTACATGCTAAACCTAGTTATGGAAAGTTCTCAATAACTCAATTGAAATATTATGCGCAATATTGTGTGTAGTATTCCCATCTGACGATATTTATCTTCCACTCCATTCTAATTTACATATTGGTTTTAGGTATCGTAGCATATATGTTTCCTTACAGTGTCCGGAGTCACTCCTTCAGTCAATTACGATTTCCCTTATTTTGACCATAATTTCTGAATTTTCTCTCATAGCTATATTCAGATATAAATTGATGACAAAAAATTTTTAAAGTATTCTTCAAAACAGTCACTTCCTGAACGGTTTCTATTTATCCCTTCCTCCTTGCTTTCCACATTTCTCGATTCTAAAATTTTAGATTTGCTTGTTTATCGTTCACTTCCCTGAGAAAGGATTTCTTGGAAGTTGGAACTGATCGAAATTTCAGTGTTTGATTTCATCCAACTTTCAAATGTATCGGTGGAACGTATTTATTAATTTTATCGTTCTTTTTACTCTGATCAACGCCTACAATGACGACTGCTTCGTTAATGAAGGCGGTATATTGTTTTTTCCATCCCTTCCCGTATTTCAATTTTTATTCAATTTGAAGAGAGAAATATTTGATAATTTGATTCAGGAGTTACAGCCCTTCACACTTCCATGAGATGGGGAATTTCTTTTTAAATTTTCACGAATATTTCTGCAAGAATAGCCTTCGATATTTATTAGCACATGTGAAAAGGCTTGGAAGAAATTAATATTGGGGACTTGATAAGCTTGGAATTTGATCAGTGACATTGGAAAAGTTCCAGTAAATTATATATAAGGATTCCAGTAAACTGAAAGATTCAATAAAGCTGTTCCAGGGCGCCTTTTGTTCTTTCACCACGAGAAAGTTCGCAAAGAGTCATTAAAATTGTCAAGAACATTACACTCAGTTCATCAATTAATTAAATATTGTCTGTCATTTAATTAACCAAGTTGGTAACAGCTGGCGAAATTTAGGATATATTTGCTGTGACCATGACATGGTAAAACTGATGCAAAATGTGATGCAAGAGAGTGGTGGCTTGTTAAATACAGCGAAAAATATTCAGACAAACGCGCGGTCGGGACATGGCAAATTTGAAACCGTCGTAGCCTTCGATGATTACGCTTACAAACATCTTTTTAAGGTTATATTTCTTGCATGTAAGACATGATAGATAAAAACAAATTAAAAATTTTTTAAGTAATCTAAAATGAAGACATGAGATATAGGGCTAAGAAAATTGAGGGAAGCTCAAGATTGACATTATTCTTACAACCCGCTACCATGAAACGGATCACTGTGGAAGAAATAACCGAAGTTCAAAGTAATCATGCTTAGTATCATGTTTTGAACAAATGCATTCCTTAAATCACAATCATATCAACAAACATTTGAATCAGCTGTTGTAGACGAGATATTACAAGATCATTTTTATCATACAATTTCTGTGCAAGTTGCAAACCTCGCAAATGCATCCATCCATCCACCCATAAGTAGAATTTGCAGCTTGCACGATATGCATCATACATAAATGAAATTATTTTGACAGGCAGGGAAAGCATGCAAGGTGTCGAAAAATGGCATACAAGCAATTAACTGAAAGCAGCAATCAGTGACATCTCCCTCAGCAAACTTCTCTTGTATGTATAAATTGATGCCTTATTACTCCCAGGAATTGTATGCATCTGTGACCATGTGCTTTGTACAACGTCCCGTACTCCCGAGAATCCCCAAGAGTCTGGAATTCATCCTTTGAAAGTAGCATAGCTTTGACTGTTCTACATTTTCAAAAGAAATATAAATCCTCCAGTTACAAACCTTCCACCTTAATATAATCGAATTCTGATCATGGAGACTTTAATCTAATCTGTTAGAATTTGCATACGTCCATAAAAAGTGTCCCACTTCTGCTGAAATAAATTTAGCTCGATGTTGATGCGAAATAGTCCATTCTCTTGTTGAGATATCATTCCAAATCGGTGATTCATAATGTTGCTGTTGGCATTTTTGTTACTGGCGATTTTGAATGTCCTTCACGGTCAGGTATTATTATTATTATT